TGTTGTACCTCATTTCCCTCCCTCAGGGAACATTGGTTATATTCATAACCTCCAGTTTTAGGTCTTCGTTTTCATCGTTGTAGTCTGGACGGTAGGTGCAAACGTAGCAAAAATTCTCCGTTTTAATTCGAAAACGCAGTAGTGTGGATGGGCCTAAGTCAGCTATAAGAAAAGGATTGTTCCTTAGGCTACATACTGTACAGTATTTGTGGACAGTTACATCCTGAAGTTCATTATCAATGTCTACAATGAATGATCAATCAATAGTGATCAACTACAGATGGCTTGCCATTTTTCAGTTCACCCACAAAGACCTTTGGATGTAAAGGCAACTACTTTAGCATTAGTGAAGAAAAAAGACTCTCAATCATCTGATTTAACTGTGAAAAACCTTTTATTTAGGTACAACAAACTCAGAATAAAGCGAGCTGGGGCTGATAATGTGCAATCAAGTAATATAGATAATGTCACATATATGAAGGTGGATCAAACATAGCTAATCTTAAATGTTTATTGGGTACAGATTAATCTAGTATTTATTTCCATTCTTTACATACATTACACAAGACTAATAAGCATAGAGTAAAGAAATATTACATGTTCTCCACTTGTTATTCTGTAGTTACACAGTAATATTAGGGGTGTGGGCTGTATTAAAAGTATCCACTGTTCTCCCGTATGTGCTGTTCTCTTATTCTCATTTTGTATTTACACATAAACAAGAAGGCATGTAAGGAGAAATATAAAAAGGTATTTATATTGTTTTGGGTTATTTTCTGTGTTGTCTCCTTCTTCTTCCTTTTATCCTCCTCTGACAAATATGCAAGTGATGGCCACTTCATACTAGCACCTCTTTCTTCTGTGGTTTTTGATAATAAAAGAAAAAAAACAACAACACATAAAATAATTGTTACTGGTTAAATGCAGCAAAGTTAACTTTATATTGACTCCACTACTACACATAAAACATGCCTTAATAACGATCACATTTAACATAAGCATAAGATTCAGCTGTCAACATTTTCTTTATGTTCACAATTATTAGCTTAAGCCTATGACATTTGCATATGCATTTACAACTGCATAAATTAGCCTAGTGGCTAGCAGACTTTTCCTCTTCTAATAGCTTAACAAATAACATATTTATACTATGTCTTACTCGCCGCTGGTTAAGTCACTGCATCTCCCGGCACAACACCACGGTTGAATTTTCAGCCTGAGCGTATGTTTAATTGAAACAGCAGCTGATCGTAGTGAGTGCAACAAGCTGGTGGACTGCCCGAGTCGTTTTCAGGGGGCAGAAGCGTAGCTCTGCTGCTGGGCGCATGACGTAAACAAGTAAGTGCAAGCCCCACCAGAAGCCATTGAGATTGCATTGCAGTGCCTGCAGCTCGAAAAAAAAAACGCCTTTACATGAAAGTCTATGAGAGCAATCTGGGAAATTTTCTACCAGACTGAAATTGCCTCAAAAGGGCGGGACTTCATGCTACATGATTTGACACTGATTGGACAACAATATTCGGCAAACTGTCTGTCAAAAACAGTCACAGCTAACTAACAGTGTAGTAGAAAGTGTGAGAAAAATCCCCTGCTTTTCCCGGCTTGGTGGTGCGGTGCCCAATCACTCTAATGAACAAACCGCCCCTGGTCACTATCAATAAGCAGTTGTTGATTTATTTTACTTAATATTTGTTTTCTCCAGGCTGAGTGAACTTACATCAGTTAGTTTTAAATAAATCAGAAGAACAATTTGAACAAATTATTTAAGTTGAATGCAGTTGACTCACATTTTTAAGGCAGCAGGGAATATCATCTTTTTAAAGTTAAACTAGCTTACAATGTTTTACAGTGCACATCCTTCATCCAAAGCTGCTGGCCAGAGCACATAACTCTCAGGTCTCACCTTCCTCTCTCATGGGACAAAGCCACACCCTATGGTTTAACAAGAGTAATAAAACACACACACACACGCACTGACACAAGCATGTGCTGTTTTACAGGCAGACAAATGCTCAGGTGTCATTCGCTCCACAATAAAAGATATTGCCAAGCAATATTCAGTTTGGTTAAAGTTGCTCCAAATTGTTTCACTGTTTTCTGTCACTGTCATAGTTCACTGTTAAGGTCTGGACTTTTCTGAGGTGAAAAATTCTCAGGAAAGTTTAGGTTCAAGTGGAGGCCCGGCCTGCTGTGTTGGCTGTGTGTCTAGTCTGGCAGGTTCAGCACACACACAGCTCTATATTTCATGTGCTCATTTCTGGAGCTTAACAACTTGAATACATGACCATGGAACCCAAAGAAATATTCTGTGAGTGTCTTAGAGTTGGCTGAACATCACAGAGGCAACTGGCCTAGTAGTAATGCACAGACACACACACTCAGACCCACTAGTGGGAATTCCAGAGGAAAAGGATAAAAAAAGGATGATTGAGTTGGGGAGGAGGAATAAAGCAGGATATAGAGAAGGAAGAAAACAAGCAGGAGCAAGCGATGAGAGATAGAAGGAGTCCACATCTGCAAAGGACTTTACAGGCTTTGCTATCATGCTGCCACGTCAACACAAGAAAGATAGTCCACAAACAGCAAGGTGAAGTCAAGAGGAATCTGTCCCCCCCCCCTTTCTTTATCTCTGTACTGAACAACAAACTCCCTCATTCTCTCCAATGTCTGCTCACGCAGAAACACGCATATGGACAGACGTTCCTGGAAGAAGATTCTATTTAAAAACAAAAAATACTTCATGCCCATAAGAGGGAAAATTTGCACCTTGGACAGCCTTTGATATTCTCTTCCAACTTCCTAACTCTCATTTTAAACACATTAACTCTGCTGAATTATGGCAGCATGTTAAAAAGCCCCTGGTTGCCTTATGTGCACAATCAGGTAATTATATTTACTGTCACGGTCCATTTCAGGGTAATAATAGGAAGCCTTGTAGCTCTTTGCACGGAACGTCTGCTGTGTTATTCACTATGTATAGAGGTGTGTGTGTGCTAAAAACCGAATACAGATATATTGAAAATTATTTTGCTCTGCAGAACTTCGCATCACTTCATCATTATTTGTTGCCACCTCTCCTGTGGGCATCTGTTAAAGTTTGCCTCCACTTGTGCAGGAGTCTCTCAGGTTTTCTTCTGTGACCACTACATCATGTGCTGGTCCTTTATGGAGGAGAGGTGGTGGCTCACATCCCTGCAGGTCTGTTGACTGGTACTAATTTCCATGGACACAGCTGCAGCACTTCAGTGTGGAAGTGCACTATGTTCTGCAAAATGTACCGGCCCCAACAGTTTAAAGGAAATTTTAATTAGTTTGCACAGTCAACAACCAATAGGCCTCAGTGAATACCGTATTGATTAAAGACTAGTTGTGCAGCATTCCTACCAGAACTAACTGTTGTTTCATGGCAGGCCAAGCATGAGGAAGACAGACAAGTGTGAACTGATAAGGAAATCTTTCTACTTCTACTCAGATCTAGGGCTGCAAGTAATAATTGTCATTACTGATAAACCCTCATCATCCTACGGGTAAAATTTGATCTGTTGTCAGTGTTTTCTTGATGCTGTACAACAGCAGGATACAAACATTGAATAAACCTGTCGAATGGCAGGAGTATTTTAATCTACAAATTGTTTTGCCTATAAAAAAACGCACATCACAATTTCCCAGATCTCAACGGGACATTTTGAAATAGCTTATTTTGATCTGATCAACCATACAAAACTGACAGGTATTAGGCTACACAGGCCTATTACAATGAGATAACACAGAGAACAGTAGCACCTCCTTACATCCGAGAAGATGGAAATAAATAATAATTTTATGTTGGTCTGCGAAGTGAAGAATAGACTAATCACGACAGTTAAGAAGAAGCTCTGGAAAAGTGTCAACACTGCTCAGTCGGCACACAAACAACATACTGTTTATACACACATTAACTCCCCTGTAATCATTAACATCTCTAATTGCTATGTCAACAATATTTATTTCAACCACTCAAATGTTATATAGCGTGATTTCCTATACACTATACTGGCATTTGATAAAACCTTGGAGTATAATTATTGTGCTCCTGTTGTGTTTGAACTGAACTTTCCCACTCAACTTCCTATCTCACGCTGTTCCTGCTCTCTCCAAATTCCCTCTTATGAGCCATCGGTGACCCCTTCAGACCTGGCATTGTAACTCCTCCAGGAGATGATATTGACGGATCAGTTTTCAGAGCCTGTTCCGAGGTGATCCTCTGGCTCCACCATGTGTCCACAGATGATGATACACAAACTGTCGACCCCAGGCTATTTTAGGAATTAAATGTTAATGTTAAACTTTATTGATCCCCAATGGGAAATTCTCTTTTTATTTGCAGTCATGGAGGAAAATCAAAGGTCAAGCTCGGCTACAAAACAGCACCCATGGTGCTGATAATGCCTCAGTGTCTTACTGAAGGACACTTCAGGGGGTGCTGACAGAGGCTTCAACTAGGACAGCATCTCTAACCCACTTGTCTGTGTCTCAGAGTTGTGAGGGTGCAGGTTTTTATTTCAACCAAACACCCACTGAAATTCACACCATTTAATTAAACTGGTGCAGAATTTAGTTGAATGTAAGCCTGTATACTCCTGGGCCTCATAATCCAGCCTCCACCAGCTGTTTGACACACTTGCATCTCCAGCATCAAACACCACACAGTGCTCACATAGTTTGGAACGTTTGCCACTGTGTAAATGTGAGACGGAGGTCACTAATGGGTATGAGCTAGTTTTGTACATTTGAGATGGCTGATAAGGTCACCGGACTGAGCAAGAGGTGAAAATGAACACTAGAAATACAAACTACAGTCACTTAATGGATGGGTCTAACATGAAACAAGTCTGAGAGAGACTGGAAAGAATCTGAAAAAAAATGGGAGAAAAAACATGAAACAAAAGGAGGCAATTCAAGGAGAACAGATATAGAATTTATTTTCAATATCCATTGCAAAGAATAAGAGGTGACACAGCTTGAAACAGATAATATAGAATTTATTTTCAACCAGAAGTAGGAAAATACATAGGTAGGTGTAAAGGAAAAAAGCAGAACCTGTAGTCAAACGGAAAAAATAAAACAAAACTAGTCCAAAGAGAATCGAGAGGACGGCTAAGGGGTACAACAGAAAGCATTGTTTACCATTCAGTTTCTTTTTAAAACAGTATGTGTTGATTTGAAAACAGCTGCCTTGATTTCTCATCTGGGTTAATGGACATTCTACAACATTGTGCAAGTGTTTTGTCATTCTTTTTTTTGCTGGTATTTCATGAATGGTAAACAATAGTTGGTCCAGTGCATATACACAGTGACACAGATCAATATATGTACTTAGCTGACTACAGATAGACAATCCTGATCATTGAACAACTACCACTAGATCAGCAGGGAAAAGGAGATGAGCAAATATACAAGATGGATGAGAAAGGGGGGGCATCAAAAAAGGTGCTCAGGTAACAAAACAGTCTAGGAGGTTGACGATGGGTGTTCAAAAAGCAAAACAACAACCAGTTTGAAAGGCGAAATAGCTACATTTTCCAGGTAAAATATTTAAAAACCCATTCTGACCGTGTGTTGAACGTTTCTGGTTATTATTGCCAAGTTGGTTTTTTTTGGAAAAGGATGCATTTAAAATGAGATGATGGGTCGCAAAACCAAACTCCAACATGGGTGATAAGTACAAATATGGATGCAAGATGTTCATGTGATTCAAGGAAAAGGACAAAAAGTACCTTGCTTTCCTGAACAGCCCTACATTTCGTGAACACTATGATCTCAGAAAAAAATGTGACTGGTTGGTAAAAAAAACAAACAAAAAAAAAACGCGCTCTACAACACAGAACTGAACTACAAGCAGCTTTGGTGTGCACCATTACCATTAGATGTGCAGCCTGGGGAAAAAAAATAATCACTGTACGCCTAAAAAAGTCAACTATGAAACACAATGCAACAGTGGAAAGTACAAAGCCAACAATGTGATCACTCTCCGAAACTTATAGGGTGACATAACTCAGCTCAACGGTTCACCAGATATTCAGTCAGAAGCAGTAGTCTGTGGTTTTAAAAAGAGGGTGATGTAGAGGGCAGGGCAGGGGGAAGTCAACAACCAAAAAAGATTTAAGAGTCAAATCAGTGACTCAATGGTAGCTAACTAGTGTAACAGATTTACCCACTGTGACACACAAGAACAGAGTGAGATGGACTAGTTGTACTTAAAGTCATCACAGGACCAGTCTAGCGACCAGCGGCAGTTCATTAGCTTAGTCTTACAAACACGTTTTACACCAGTCAGAACGGTGTTCTCTAGTACTGAACTGCAGCCACTAGTAAGACAGCTCTGCTGCCCTAACCCTACAGGCACTAGCACTCTCCAGCTAGTGCCATGCAACATCCAAAATAAAGCTCAAAAGTAAAGAGAACAAATAAACTGAATATCCCTGTGGTGATTTTTTTGTTTTTACCGATACCAACAATACAGATACTTTTCTTCCGATATGCATGAAATCTGTCATTCTACGAGGCATCATCAGGAACATTCAACTCCTCTAATCAACTCAATCCAAACTATGTCTCGTCATGATTTCTACAAAGGATTTGGTTTGTGATTTGGGGGGGGGGGGGGGGGGGGGGGTTATCGAGTAAAAACAATGCAGCAAACATACCATCATAGAATTCATGATTTACACAACAACAACACAATTCAATATCTTTTTAGAAAGGAAACATGAGATACATCTTTTATTCACACTTTACAAAAAAGCTAGCCTTTAAATCTACTACAATACTAATGCCATTCAGGAAAAAAAATTTATCATACTGGACACAAACAAAAAGGTTAAAAAGCATGGGGAGGGAATCAATGGGACAAGAGACCTTGATCTGAGGAATATACTTCCTTTTTACTTGCTTCCCTCTTGCTTTAAAAATGTAATTTTAACATATACATTAAAATAATGGAGATCTTTATGTGCTAATATGATGAACAGGGTGTGAGGGGAGCTACGCCTGAATCTACTAAGTGCTCATCGTCCATTTTATCAGTGTAAAAGTGTGGCTGTTGAAATAAATCGTCTCACCACTGACAGATTTCACTTGTGTTTGTTTGGGATGCAACAAATTTGATTCATAGCAACGCGCTTGCCTTGCTTTCAGAGAAATAGCTGAGATCACAGCGCCTCAATCCCTTGTTCACCCAAAAGCAGAGCAAAGTGGGCCTTCCACCTTTTCCAAAACAGAGGTAGGGGGTCCACAGATGGCACTATAGCTGCAGTGACGAGGGTAAGAGAACTATACAAAGTGGTTGAGCAAAGGGGTTTAAAAGACACAGCTTGAGCAATATAGTGGGTTTGAGAGTGGGTTTGAGATTGGGTGGTTGAGGGTGGGGTATAAGATTATGGACAAGTTGAAGGAGATTTAAAATTCACGGCCGAGGATGGAACTATGGGCCAACTATTTTGGGGGTCTGGGCATGGAGCTGTGCTAAGGTACGAAGAGGGAGCAAAACAATCAGAAGTGAATTTCACAAAGAGAAGACATCCTACTCAAGTTCCTTAAGGAGAGGAAAGAGGGTCAGAGGAGAAAGCATACCTGATTACTAGAGAGCTCAATGATAAGGAAGAATATACACATCATCATAACATTGTCACAGCTCATAAAAAGGAAACATTAACAAAAAAAAAAAAACAATAAAAAGGACATAAAATCTTCACAAATGTCTCAAACAGTATTTAAAAATAAAAGGAGAAAAGGTTGTTCAGGCGTTCGTCAAATGTAAATAGTGCAAGACAACGACAACTGCTACAGTGAGGCACGATGTTTTGTTGAACATGTGGGATTTATAGAGGTTGTATCAGTCACACATCACTAGTGGGAGTGTGTGCGAAATATATAGATGAACAGATGTGTAGCCACAGGTGGGCTGTGACTCATCCTTGCGTGTCCTTTTGTCTGAACTGATGGCAGCAGAGTGGATAGATGGCTTTCTTAATGGGCAAGAAGCAACAGGCAGAGTTTCCTCAGTGTCTATTTACAAATTGCAGCAATATGCCGGCAAATCAGAGGGGGGTGGTGGGGAGAAAAAAAAATACTGATAGATTAATTAGTTAATCTCTAGGGAGTGCAATAGTGACAGCGAACACCTTGAACAACCTCTTCTTACGTCTTTTGTACAAGCTGGTAATATCAATTCATCTTAACATTAACTGGATAAAAATTTAGCCATAGTTTACAATACAATCTTTTTTTTCAAATCTGATCATAATTTACTCTTAGTACAAAAAACGCCAGAAAACAGGTCTTTTGTGGTTCATATACAATCATGTAAAGACTGAGTCTAGATTTCTATTCTGTACAAACACTTGTGAAAAAACCCCACTGCTTTTGTGTATGGAATTTATGGCTGGGGAAAGTCACTACTGGCCTCGGAGACGGTGCTACAGATCTGCCTGTATATTACCTGTGTTGTGTGTGTATGCGTGAGTGTGTGTAAGCTTGCATGTGTGGAGTCAGATAGCAACTCCAGACAGTGAGAGGACTGCTGGTTTTACTCCTGCGTATTAGCCATTGCTCGCTCTCTCTGCCTAAAAGCAATCAAGACAAATAAAAAAAGATTTGTGAACGCCCCTCACCGTTTTGCCCATCAGCCTAAATCCCTTGCCCCTGGACCAAAAATTGTGGTACATGGGCCACATGAGCTCCTAAGCACAGGACTAGCCTAACAACTATATAAGCTGGGGTGAACAGTCTGCAAACACGATGGTAGCTGCTCTCAGTTTCTCACCTTATCCTTTCTTCACAAATTAACACTACGTACATTGCCCATGTGACATCAGGCAAATGTTGTTTGCGGACGTCTGGTTCTTGAGGCATCTGTGGGTTTTGGTAGCTAATGCGCCAGGGCCAGAGGTGTAGACTACCTTGTAGCACCACGGGAGGCCGTGACCACATAAAAGGCCTGAGCACCACAGAAGGACAGCAGGAAATCCTGTCTCATACCAGCTGCACTACATCCCATTCCAGAGACGCTTAACTACCAGCTAAAAGCTGCACTAACTCCACAAACGTGTGTATCCAAGAAAGACTGAGAAAGTACGCTGGCTGCCCAGAGTACAGGGGAAAACGAGCACAAGCCAATGATGGAGGTCTGAGACTGACAAGTCTGCTGTCTTTGCTGGTTTCAAATTTATACAGGACAGACAGACAGGCAGACCATCAGCTATGGAGCTTTTCTGGTGAATGTCACCCCCTCAGCCACTTTGGCGTTTTCCCTTGCTCTTAAACCAAACAGTGCCCCAGGTGACGAATCTGAATGAGCTACCATCCCTTCTAGTTTCAGAGACAGAAGCAAAGTGGGTGGGTGGGTGGATTTGAGGAGGAAAGGGAGTCCAAAACACAAAATATGATACACCAACAGGACTGAATCGAGCAGTTAAAAAAAGAACAAAAAATAAAAACGGAGAAAGAAAAAAGAAAAATATAGAATATCTATAACATTATACGAAATCCCTGTCGGCCAGACCTCACTGTACGAATATTTTACAGGTTGTGTTTTTTTGTCTTCCTCCTCCGGGGTGGTGGAGGGAAGAGCTGGTAGTGGGAGGGAGGAGGGTTGGAAAGGGAGCGGCTGTGGTTGCAGCTCTCTCTGGTGGTGTGGCAAGGACTCACTACCTGCGTGTAGGCAGATGGAGCCCATTGACCTGGGGGGGCATGTTGGGCAGGAGCAGCTCCAGCTGGGCAAAGAGGGAGAAGTGGTCGGAGGGGATGTGGGGATGTGGGCAGCCGCTGACATTGTTCTCTACGAGCCAGTGTGGGTCCAGTGGGCCCAAGATACCCAACACGTTCAGGTGAGGCTTGGAGTAGAAAATATAGTCAATGACACCCTGAGGAGAGAAGGGGGGGGGGGTGCCGTCAACAAAAATATATTAACATTAATTCCACTTTGGACATGTTTATGAGTAAGTTTGTAAGTCTGGACAAGTCAAAAGGTGAATCTCTGTACTTGTACAAGCATCATCATCAACTACAAACATAAATATACATGTGTGCCATCAGTAATCACCTTGAAGTCGTAGGTGTAGTTGGTGTAAGGCATCAGGCCGTTCTCGTAGGCGCTCTTCAGCTTGAAGCCGTGGGTGATCCTGCCATTGGACGTGCTGTTCTTGCCATTGCAGTTGAATTTGGTCAGGCTGTCGCTATAACGAAGCTCTTTGAAGTCCTTGTGGGTGCAGTCAACTCCACCAGAACTAAGATACTCCACCACGCCTGAACAGAAGGGAGAGATGAGAAGTTGTCTACATCAGAATCAAGAAAAGTCAAGTGGCACTTTAACGTCCCAACAGGCCGAGCCCAATCTGTTCCTACAGTTACCATCCATACCGCCAAATGGAATTTCTAAAAGGCACAAATTTTGAATGTTGTAGGTTACCAGTAATATTAGCTGTAAAACTAGTTTTTCAAATCATATCTACATCTAGTTCCATGCAGGTGAGGTATTTCTATTCAACTACAGATTGATTTCACTACCAGGTCATGTTTGATTACTGCTGAATTTATATTTTGATATAGATTTTAATGTATGCACGAAGGTCTAGATACAGTATTTCAGGAATGGCTTCATCCCATGCTGAAAGTTGCAAAAACATTACAACTGCAACTAATGATTGCTTACATTATCAATTCTCTGCAGATAATTCTCTCCATTACCTGATTTGGTAAAATGTGAGAAAATTGTGCAAGTTGTCCACCACAATTGCTCTTTTTATTCGACCAACACACAATTTAATTTACTATCATAGAAGACTTTTCTAATATTCACATTGGAAACACATTTCACCTTTTGTTGCATAAAGAAAAAGACTTAAAATTAAATCAATTTAAAATGGTTGCCCGTTAACAAATTAGGAAGTAATTTGGATTTGTTTATTCCTTTTTTTAATGTAATTGCAGCTATGAAAGACATACACCTGCTTGTTCAGCATCCAAAGTTTAGTTTTGCTAAAAGAGCAGCATGACACATTGTTATGGTGCTTTCAGACCAAAAGCGAAGTGAATGTGCGGTGAGTTTACATACAAAGTCAATGCAAAGTCGCGTAGAGCTGCGATTTCCTGTCGGGCAGCACGAAGGGGGCGGGGCTGGCGAAGCGAAGCGTGTGAGTTGAATATTTTCAACTCAAGGGAGTAATTCGCATGACGCTGAGTCGCGATAGCCTATCAATGTTGAGATTGTCCGTACGTTGCCGACAGCTTCAGAGCGTTGTGTGAAGAGGGCTAGGCAGAGCGGGCAATTGAAAATCTGCTGGCCGGCTGAGCACTGCTAAACTTGGGCTAGAGGAGCAGGGAGCAGCGCTCCAGCTTTCGGACAAATAAACACCTGTGGTCGTACTGGACTTTGCTTGCAACTACGCCGTTTGCTTGCAGGAGGAGCTTGGAGTAAAGTAATTTTATTAAATTAGATTTTTACTTTAGTTTTTATGATTACAACATTGATTTACGTTCACTCAAGCTTCTCAGCAGATAGATTCCATGCACATCTGGTTCCAGTGCTCTCTCTCTCTCTCTGAATTCATATGTATGTTATTTCGGCATCAGTTTGATCCGTTTATTGCTATTTAATCACAGCAAAATGTTTACTTTGGGTTCATACAGCTGTAGTAATGGCAAGTTGTGTTTATTAACGATATCGCGTTAAAATCGCTTTCTCGCGTTGTGTTGCGAGGCGAAAATTTGCGTTTGGTCTGAATGCCGCATTAGGAGATACTGGGAACCAAACCAACAAAAATTTTCAACAACTACCTGTCGCTGCAGTTGTACTATTGTTGTATCAATACATGTACACTTTTTATACCAACTCTGTGGTAATACACAGCACAGCTCTATCTGCCTTGCTTACATACCAGAGTCAGGCAAGGAGTTGAGGTCAGCGCACAGCACCAGCGGAATGGCATTGGTCTCACCAGAGACAGAGGACAACTTGAGGCTGCGTGTGGCTTTATCCACTATGTTCTTCACCTCTGACAGGAACATCATGGTCTGGACCAGCTTCACATCAGAGTACTCTGGGTCCCAGTGCATATGAGCATTTGCTACCAGGAGCAGCTGCTTCTCCATGCCATGGAGTGACTTCCCAGCTGAAAGGAGGGGAAAAGGTAAGCAGGCAAAAGTGATACAGATAGTTACTTATGCATCACCGACAACTACTGTAACTAAAGCTTTTCAGTGAGTTTCAGACATAAGTCAACACAGGATAAGCAGGACTAGCTCTGGTCTTAAAGAAAAACACATGCAGTAAGTCTAGCGAAGCCAAGTACCCAAATAAGAAGTCCTAAAGCTCAATAGGGCGTCTACTCACAGGAGACCTCCATCATCTCTTTGCGGACCTCAAGCAGTACAGCTACCCCGATGTTGTCCTTGGTCATCACCCTGTTCAGCATTGCCTCTGAGCCCTCGGAGTTAGCCATGGCCAGCTGGTTAAACTCCACTGTGTGCTTCTGCACTGCGCTGAACCTGGAGATAAACAGGATACCACTCAATGCCTCTAAATATCAGAGCAAAGGGGACACTGAACAACATAATTGAATTGCCAATACAGGGAACAAATTACACTTCTTCCTCCTTGCCCCTAATTTGGGCAACTCTTTCATAATATTAATGACATAGCTGTAAATAAGTGTATAGATTCAAATTCAGTTATGAATTCTTATTGAAAGTCTTACATTTACTGTTTTTATGGACTGAGTAGAAATTTGGCTTGTAGTCAAAATAATGGTCTGCTTCAGCAAAACAGAGCTCAGTACTGCCAGCTGCTGTATGTATGAAGCTTTAGCCTTCCATGATTTTTCAATTAAAAGTCAAAAACATGCTCTTGTATTAACACAGGACAGAAACAGTCCCATGAATGCCATGAGATTGCATTTGCTTTAATTTCATCAATACTTAAAGCTTCGGCCTCAGGCAAATACTATGTTACCCAACACTCCAGACAGTTTGTCATAATTAAATGATATCATTTACTGTCTCATATAAAGACCCCCCCCCCAGGACTCTTGAGGAAATTCATGCCAACATCACACAGCTCCCTGTGGAGCCATAAAAGGCTTTGTATAACTTATTTCAGATATCCAATAGTCCTCGCCGAGTTTGGTTGGTTTCCGGTTTTGCCAGTCAGCTCAGGTGTATTAGCTTAAACCAGTTTGATTATATGCAAACTACATCTGTCATTATGAGATGTTCTGGCCAAAAAATTAAAATAAAAAAAAATAGGCAAGCAGCAGCTCTCAGGAACATCAACCCTTTAATTACATTCTACAGCTGGGCTCAAGACATGTAACAGCCACCTCACTAATGGTTCAAACTATAAATCTGCACAGAAATGACAATTACTAACACAAGCCACCATGTTCTGAACAGACTACAAACAAAAAGTAATGTTTGCATTTTGAAACAAAACGGCAAACTTAAACAACTCAGTCCAGCACAAGTACCCATCACAGCTGAACAGATGATGGTTCGGAGTAAAGCGGTGTCCTTATGGTAAGCTAACTAGTGAAATGAAAAGTTGATAAGCAATGTCCCTATCATTTTTCCCTTTTCAACATAACTCTAATATAACCCTGTCCCTGACAGCTGCCACGTCACTCATGCTTATCACATCTGTTCGCTATGTTAGCAGGGTAGCCAGCCAACTATACTTTGTCAGTACAGTCAGTAACAGAGTGAATATGCCACTTTTGCGGGTCTAAGCTCAACCCAGCTAAATGTGTTAAGATTCTTCATTACAGCAGCTATTTTTCTGCTATACATTTAATCTTACAGTAGTTTTGATCAAGCACTCCAGTTAAGCAACTCTCACTAAATCTCAGTTGTTTACACACTGTTCAGTTTTGATAGCTACTGTTAATTAGCTTAGCAGCTAGCGATGGCTTCTCATTCTCCCTCTCCTGATCTCTTGCTCTGTGTGTCAAATGTTTAGCCACTCCTCTGCTTTCTTTAGTGAGAATAGTACGTATGTAGTAAGTGTAGTTTGTCACACTGCTGACGAGGCTTTGAGAATTGGAAACTCTGCTCTGCACCATGGAAACAATCATTAGCTGCTGTAGTTAGCCATCCCGTAATAGCTGGACCGACCAGAGGTAGCTCCTGTTAGCCGTCCCAATGCAGCGCCTAAGCATTTGGGAAGCCAGGGAGGCTGGGTGATTGTCCGAAGGAAGCATAGCCCTTGGCCCATGGTTCATCACCAACCTGTTCACATTTCTAACATGTTATTGTGACCACATTCAAATGTATTTCTGGGCCAGAGTGGGCGACCCTGAACCCTATCGTACAGTATGTGCTATGGTATAAACAGTACCCGAATTTAGACTGGATGGTAAGCATTGATAGCAATCTTCAAAACATACCACTGGTCTATATTTTGTTTTCAGCTACAAATGAACTAGGAACAGTTTCTAAAACCGTATTCAAGCATGAAAGCAGGGGAAACATTTAGATAATGGGGAGCTTGACACAAATGCTTTAGAAATATGAGTACAATCAATGTTATCACTGTCAGATGGCTACAGTAAAAACCTTACATTGGGTTGGGCCGATAAGACAATGCAATCGTCCATCGGCGATGGCTGACATACATCACAATGTTGAGCTGGCATCGTGACTGTAAAAACCCGCCCAGCACTTTTTTTTTGTATGTTTTATAAAGTCGACTAAAATACTAAGAACTCGTCTTTTCCTGTATATTTCCACCTGTGATCAGTCATCATGGCAGCAACTAAACAACTAAAACAAACATCAGCATCCTGTGAGTTCACTGTTGCTTTACCTGGTCCGTGCCTAAAATATCCACCGCGACTTGTAATGTAAGTTAATAGTCTACCATTTTTTTTTTTTTTTTTTTTTTTTAAACTTAGTGAAGTCTGTGCGAGAACACATGCACATAAGACGACTGCTGCCCCCAGCGCGCCCGTGCACCCGATGACATCGTCCATCCCAATATTTCATTGTAGACATCATCCGATGGAAATTTTGTAGACATTGCCCAACCCTACCTTACATGGCTTCTTATTTGCAGGGTTATCAAACTGGTTAGGTGGGTGAGCAGTGGTAGCTCCACCCAGCCGATACTCCACACAAACACAAAACAACCATCAACATACCGCAATACATAAAAATATCATAGGTTACAGTATTACAGAATTGACCTGGAGTGAAAGGCTTACAAAGGAATCATTTCTTTGTCACAATTATTGCACCTGTTTAATGGGGGAAATGGCTTAGTGATTAACTGTAATTGAACACCATAAAAGCTGTTTTAAACCACTCAAGCATCAATATTGCCTGAGGTGCTATCCTACAGAGAAAAGGGTATTGAAGTTATTAACTGGATACCCAGTGGAATGAAAACCCCTCCGTCTCTATCCATCCATCTCTGATGAAATGAAAATTCACCAGTTCATAACTTATTTTAGAAAACATTGTTCATTTATTTAGAAACTATTGTGGTTCAGACTGTCTTAGAGCTACAAGCCAGTGATTCTAGCTTTTATACAAAATATCTTAAAATGCATGTTTAACTCCAACAAAGATAAAACAAATAACAGTCCTACTAAGGCTTGTCAACAAGAGATACAGGCTACAGGACGATAACTACAAAATTGTAGGTACATACTTTTCCGTCTTGTAGAAAATTGCACATCCATCCACGTGTTTACGGTCCGACTCCGACATGGTCCTGGCTCGTGATTTTGGACTGAAGAACCCCTCGTAACCCTGCTCTTTCAGCTCAGGCAAGAAGAAACTGTAGTACTGCTCTGTCTCAACTTCCTGTAATCAAAAAAAACAAACAAAAAACAAACAAAAAAAACCCACGTCAGGGTGGACAACAGGAAAGGCCGACAGTCACGCAAGTATAACAAACACTCCTTCCAAAAAGAACAAAAACTGTCATTCTAGATATTAACATTTTAATACAATTAAAACTAAAGGCAACTAAACACAATTTTAAGAAATTAAAAATCATCACAGCTGAAAAATAGTGCAGGAAGGAAAAGCAGATCTAGTGTCAGCAAACACAGCAAATGTTGTCAAATATTTCTTAATTTATAAATTCAAAGAAGCATCTGAGTGCAAAATAGAGGTGGTATCCTGCTCATTTTCAGGTTCAAAATCTTATTTAGGGGTTGTACCAGAACAGGTTTACATGGCTTAATTTTCAAAAACCACCATATTTTTCCTCATACTGCACATTGCTGCAGCTCCTCTTTTCACCCTGTATGTTGTACGCTCCGCTCTTGCGCTACAGAGTGATACATCTTACTTGTACAAAATCTTTGTTGGGAGTTGCACATGCGCAGTTCCCAGATAAGGACTACTAGCCAATCAGAAGCAGAGAAGGGCGGGTCGTAAGAAACAAGGTAGTGTGATCCAAATCAAAGCCGCTTCAGACTGCGACCGTAACCTAGCAGATGGTATAAGTTACTCACAAGTCCACAACATCATTGTTCCACATCTTACCATCAGGACTAAACGTTGAACTGTTGCCGGTGTTCTGACGATCTATGCTGCCTTGTCGAAAAATGCTACCAAAGCGCAAATCGATAGACTCGACTCTACTCAGCCCTGCTCCGTTTTCCATTGCAGATAGTACCCAGAGATAGTACGTAGCTTCTCATCATAGCGACGCCACACACAACTGCTGCGACGTAATGTTCCATGCGACACACACGCGATCCACACAGCTTTCTGTTTTTTAAGTTAAAACGTTTCAACATTCCTCAGAATGTAAAGACAGATAAGCGGAATGAAAACCTTCCAGCCGTGTTTTCCTCTGCCGTTGTTGTTGCAGCGGTCTGTGCGACGGCGGGAGCAGAGGGCTCTGTGAGCGGGAGGCTGGCCGGCCTCACACGCTTCTTCCGCGGGTTGGCACAGGCTTCCCCCGCAGCCACTTGCGGAGCTCCTCAACTCCAAAAATATTCAAGCACATTTTTGTTCCTCCATCACTTCTTGTAAAACACACCTCAAAACTATTCAGAAGTGGATTTAGTGATGAAATTACATACGGAAACTGTAAAATATAAAGCTTTCTGTTGCTGGCCTCTTTCTGGCACACGCAATGACGATGCAGTGAATAGTGAATATTCTCTCTGACCAATCAGCAGTCTGACGTGTTTTCACGTTACATTTTAGTATCCCTCAGCTCGCTTGGAACCTCGACGGAGGTGAGGTAAGATAAGAAAAAAAGTACCTGGAAGCAGGTACAACATTTCCACAATGGAAACCCAAACAAAGACGAGTCGAGCCAAAGGGCCTCCGCTCAGACTAGCTTGGTTTGAGGGCGTGCCTGACCCTGCAAGCTGCTTGGCAAGCTTTATGACGCGTTTTCATTGTGACGTCACAAGTAAAGGAAGTGAAGGGCTGGACTACAAACGAGCTGTTTTCAAGCGGTTCAGAGCAGAGCTTTCTGTGGGAGATGGGAACTCCCTTTGGGCTGGACTTTGGGCTTTTTCACTTTGCAAACCTGTTACATGCACAAAAAAGATATACAGCTCAATAAAGGAGGGGGGAAAAAGGCCAAAAAGCATAATACCAACTCTAAGATTTTCTAAGAGCAAGACATTAATTCTGCTATTTGTGATATGGACACATGTAACAAGAAAGTAAGATTTAACACTGTGTCGACACTCAAAATAGCGCATCACAAAGGGAGCATTTATTGTAGGGGTTTTGGATTGCATTTTACAGGTGTTGCTTTTATTGTGTCGACTTTAAAGGACGTCCCGCTACCACCACCCTGCCTAAGTTTTTAAAAAAGAAATCTTGTTGGGTCTTTGCTGATGTACAAAATAAATGTTAATGTCTGTAAAAACCTTAATGCATGCTTTGACATCCATCTCTCACCTGCAAACTGATGATGTCTGCATTGCAGCCCAGGATCTCCTGAATGATGGATTTCTTCCTATACTCCCAGTTTAGAGCCCAAGATGGGCAGTAGCCATATAGCTGTCGTGTGGCGTACTTATCACACAGCACATTGTAGCACATCACAGAGAACAGTGCTGAGGGGAGACAGACAAAAGGCCATATTTTAGAAATGCTACGGAAGCTTATGATTTTTATTCCCTAAAAAGGTGGGGTAGGGACATTGCCACATTTGTTATACAACAAGCCCGATTACCAAAAAACATCTGTACCATTTTTCCTGTCTATACATGGAAGAAAAAAATAAAAAAAAATTAAAATGCAGTATTCTGTAAACAGGGAAAACTCTATCCCACTTCGTATTGCGTTTCCTAAAAGCAGAATTTGGCATACACATTAGAGCTGCAATGACTATTTGATTAGTTGTCAACTATTAAATGAATTGCCAACTATTTTGAAATTTGTTTGAGTTCTACAAAAATTCCTTATAGAAGCACAATGTGACTTACACAGCAGTGGTGTAATCATCTACAATTGTTAACAGCACTGAACATTGAGTCAGTCAAAACAACAGTCACGGACGCCCTGAACAGAGTCAACCAACACAAGTAAAAGCTCAACCCAAAGGACACACTGGAATACTGTATCAACTGCAAAAGTGTGAATATACTATATTGCAAGTGTCACAAGCATTGCTTTTAGGTTAAAGGGTAATTTTGGCATTGTTAAACCTGGGCCCTATTCCTATTTTCTCATATTTTGGGGTGAAATGACTAGTAGGTAGGGCTGGACGATTTGTCCAAAAATGTTATCACGATAAAAAGTTTCAGATCTTTCAATATCAATAATTATCACGATAAGTATCAAATCGTTAATTCTTTTGAGTTTAAAGGCTGTTTTTTACTCTTGAGTGAAAGTGCAAGAAACCTGATGGTTAACTGTGGTTTAAACTCTTCTGTGATTCTCTATGATCAACACTTGAGGCCAAACAGTGGATCACTTCACAATTCTGAGGCAGAACATTCAAAACAATTATGATAAAATCTTTGTCAACAAATATGCATGACTAAAAGCTTTTTCATTCAACAAAATGAACATTGTAAAAAAATTAAGTCCCAATTAATGTATGATTCAGTTGAATAAAATCAAACATTTATTGAACATTGTTATTGAAATAAATTATATCACGATAATTGTTACTGTTTTATTGTCCAGCCCTACTAGTAAGTACAAACAGTTTTGTAATCCGTGCAGTAGATGGCAGCCGTGAATGTATTCCTTTGGGTCAATTGCACCTGTCCACAAAAAGTGGCCGGTCAGTGGCAAAAACAGGTACTATTTGTGGATGTGAGTTTGACCAGCACCAAAGAAACAGGTTGCAGTCACTGCAGCAACTTTGTGACTGTCGGCTGAAGCCATCTGCTACATGGATTTCAAAACTTTTTGTACACAATAGTCATTTCAGTTCAAAAATGTGAAAATAGGGTCCAGGTTTAAAAACACCGAAAAAATCCTTTAAGCCCAGCAGTACTTTTCATACAAAACCGAATTTGGATCCTTTTCTATTAATTTTTCAACAGATTAATGTGACTTATTTTTTTTTTATGGATACAAGCTACATCCATATTTATGGAACAGCTGTGTATTACAGAGAAAACTGATAAGAGTATGTATATCTGTTCAAAGTTATGTTTCGTGTATGTTGTACTTGCCAGAGGGTCGCGTTCTGTCTAGTTCCTGGAGAGAGATCCATGACCGAGCTGGGGGTTGCTCTGTTGGCACTGAGCACAGGGAAAACATCGTTCAATATAGGAGACGACATGAACACAGATGTCGCACAATGTCTTCAACAAAGTTAAGGGCACATAACCTGTTGGCCTCACATCCTACATCTTTATATACTGATGAACAGAGGTCTTCACAGATTCATAAATGCAAAACCGATTCCATTTGTCATCCATCACTGTCACAGCAAGTGGTCTTGTAAGCTGAAGTAATGAGTTTTTTAGCCATGTGGAAAAACAGAAAACCTGGGTGTATTTTACCAACTTTCTTGGTAAGGAGGATGGATGATATGCATCACAGCCAGGCACAGGAGAGAAGGCTATGAATATTAAAATTAGGTAAGACACAAAGTTTTGTTTTAAAAACTTGTATAATAGGTTAACTTGTTAATAGCAATCAAAGCTGGGAAATAGGTGCAAATTAGGTCTGTGTCTCCCAGCCGGTTTCGGGTCTGACGTTTCTTAGCTCTGCAGGTCCCAGCTTTCAAACAATAGATGGGTCCAGTTTAGTTCTGGGTAATACAGGACCCATGAAGACCTCTACTCATGAACCTATCTGTTGGGGACAAAGAAACAGCTGGCAATATGCAATTCCTCTTCCAGTCTCAAGACTGCCAGAGGGTGGGACTCACTGCGCTTGATAGCCCCGGCCAGATTGTCTAACAAGTAGTTGAGCAGTCTCCGCGTGCCGTCGGGTTCCTGGTAGAGGCTCATAATTTCTTGTGCAAGTGGGTTTCCTGGTGAAGGAAAAGCAACACGGGCTGAATCATCGCTAAAAGATCAATGGGATTTCAAGGCTACAATGGCTACAAAACCACTGACAAGCCACTCACCTTTCAACCCCAGTGTTTGTAACTGAAACAGTTTCCCCAATTCAAATGGCAGAACCCGCAACTGGTTGTTATTTAAAAGCAGTTCCCTGTGGAGGACATGGGGGAATTTGATTATTAGAAACCAGCCCTCCTGAGAAACAACCATCTGTATTAACTTTTAAAAACATTTACTACATTTCTGCCATCAAGACTTACAACATACCTAACTTTAGACTGATTGTTAATGTGGACTTTTTACATGAAATTTTAAACATTCCAATATATTGAAACAATAGAAACCCAGATAAAACTGGCAGACATCTATTGAATCAACAATTAACAGAAAAACTCACATTGCCATTATGAGTGTGGGGCACTGTGTGGGTGCCAAAATTAATTTTAAGACCAACCCTGTGACAGCTACTACTTTCCATAGTTGGCAAACAAAGGGGTAAATATGTAGCCTGAAATCACTTACCTGAGAGACACCATGTTGCCGAGCTCTGCCGGCAGGCTCCTGATCTTATTGGATGAGAGATCCAGATACACCAGGTTGTGTAGTTTGGCAATGTCTGGCGGGATGCGTGACAATGAGTTGTCACTGACGTGCAGGGCAGTGAGGTGGGTGAGAGACCACAGGGCTGTGCTGAGACTCCTTACTCGGCCTGAAGTGAAGGTAGGAAAAGGTCACACACATGAGAATTAAGTCCCAGTATCCCACTATTATGCCCCTCGCACTATAGGGGAAAAACCTTGGAACAACTTTCCCCATTTGTGTGTGAATAGGTCAACGTCTGTTAAGTGTTTTCACACTGAGAAGATGTTGCTTAATCATAATTGTAGGGCTGCACTGTTTTCCCAGAACACCAAATAAAATCATGTTAAGGCTGGAGATACACCATGGTGGGTGTAATCAACTGTGACCCATTTTAAACCTTGCAAAACCCAGTTTGGGACTAGAGCTGAATTGATTAATCAAACCACAGAAAATTAACTTGCAAAACATTTGATAATGAATGTCAATAAATTTTGAAGAAAAATTTGGACAAGAATTACTGGTCCAAGCTTCTCCTCTGGCTGACTGTCTTAGTTTTCTATGAGACCATCATCATCTTGGGCTCTGTGAAACTGATGGACATTTAACACTATTTTCTGACATTTTAATAGGCCAATAGGTTAATTGAGAAAATAATTGGTAGATTAATTGATGATGAAAATAATCTTTAGCTGCCGCCCTTCATGGGACTGACATGTGCAGAGCTAGGGGTGGAACCTGGTCTATTTTATCAGTGAAGATCCAATATTCACCTGCGTCCAACAGTGTGACATGAAAGGTAGATATACAAAGAAAGATTTCACATTATATACGAAATCTACTAAACTAGGAACTCACTGAAAACACTCACCACTGATTTCCAGCTCAGCCCAGTATGACTTCTTCCCGTTGGCTGCTTCCTCGCTAGACATAATTGTGTACATCCGCCTGGGATCCGGCGGGTCATATTTTTCCTTGGGCATTCCTATAACACTACAAAAGATCATTTTAAACGTCATTTATAAACAGAGTAAAAGAGCTCACAATGTAAATCAATTCGGTATTTTGGCCCAAATCTAAAGATGGAATACTATAAATTAGGATAGACCCAATGTATCTAGCTTAGCAGGTGACTTTGTATTTGCATTTATTGCTACCACATGTTGGCCCATGCTGGAAAAAGATATTGAATGCAACCCTTACCAAACATAAAGAGCACGTTTTTGATCAATATATAGTTCAATTAACACGTTGCTATCCGACGTCTATCTTGAAATAACGTGAAGTATCATTTAAACAGCTTCATATGAAGTCTGATTTAATTTGAGTTAAATAATCAACACTTTAAATCGGTAACGTAGGGTACTGTCTGTCATGCTAAACTTAGCAAACTAGCCTGTTAACTGTGTAAAGCTCTAATTAGTAAATTAGTTAGAAATTGCATTTTAAAATTTAGTTAAATTAGCTAACGCCGGGTAAAGATTAGCAGATTATTCTTCTCGTTTTCGCTAGCTGATTAGCCTAGCTTAACCTAAATAGGTAGCTATAAAACTATACATAACAAACGCTAAATCGCTAACGTTAGCTCGCTTGCTAACTATCAATTCGAAAACGGACACGAGAAGTTTGCGAAATTTAGCAACTGACAGATTTTAACGCCCTGCCCAAGTGGGCTAGAAAAAAGATGCAAAATGCCATTAAATGGTACTGTATAATTGTTGTTTACATAATAGCAGAGCACTGACTTGCGCATTAACACTAGGCCACGGAACACTGCATTAGTTAGCTGCCGCTAGCTAGCCCCCAGTAGCAAGAATCACTATCACTAAGATAAACAGTGAGCAAACGAGCTCACAGAGCTACACAATGCTGGATTTGCAAGCAATTGCGAGCTATTTAGCTTAGCCTGGGTTAGCTTGCTAGCTCAAAGCTAACATCCCAATTATTCGAAGCTGACCGACTTCCTATTCATATTAGTCCTACGTCGGGAAAAATGGCCACAGCGTTTTTAACATCTAAATAAGATCACGGTGAAACATGTCAAAATAGTTCAGGTCTAAAAGAAAGGATAAAATTTTTACCTGCAAGACCATACCAAATCGCGAGGACGACTGCGTGTTCTCTTTTGTTTTCTAGCCACTTCTCACCAGTTTCCGCTGCTGTATCATGGCGACTGTAAGGATTTTTTTTCCTCTGCCGATAACAGCGCTTCATCCTATTGGTCAGCGTGCAGACGGTCCAACCAGCTGTTGAGCCAGAGTAAATAAAGCCTTTAAGTGATGAGTGATGGGCCATGAGATGGATGGATATTGGATAGGACGCCACATTCAATTTACTGTGGCTTATTTAGAAACTATGCATAGTTAGCATAATTTCCAATCTCATCATTAGCGGTGTAGTCAAAGTAATGATGTAATGGTTGCATCTGTATGGATATCCAAGGAAGATTATGCTTAATGACAAATTGATATGCCTTTACTGGCTAAAAGACAATATAATTAAGAGAAACCAGATGTAAATACATTTTTACTTCACAAGACCCAGCCTTTATTTAAAATACAAAAAGTCAACTCAAGCTGAAATATAAATATTAACATTAAATTAATACAATGCATTATAAGAAAAAAGTTTGGCTATTTTTTTTATTCAACACTGACAGACATCTAGCAGGTGATCCTGTAGATAAGTGAGGGACTCTTCCACATGGAGAGGCAAGGCTTGGCCAAGGTCAGCCTGCGCTCTGGACAGGAAGGCCTCCACAGCTTCGCGAACGGAGGCCTTGGATAACATATCATCCGGCTTGTAGACCAAGGTGCCAACTCTACCTCTTTGTTCAGTGACTGAGCTGCACAGATAACCTGGGTTTAACAGATGACAGATGTTAGGGGTAAATCAAAGTGGGCTTGGGTGAGTCAAGTAAATTAATTTTATTTATTGATGAAATGTTTTAATATTCAGGGATATGGTACATTGGGTATGAAAGGATTCATATCTCATATATGTCTTAGAGGCAGGAGATATACTATCTATTAAAATTTTAATACAGGTGTTTGAGTAAAAAAAAAAAAAAATCAACACATAAAAAGAAAGTACAGGAATGTAAAAAATGCATTACGTTCACAGCACACACAGTGTGAACATCCACAATAGTTCCCAGATATGAACCAAAGACAGAAATGTGGAAGAATTAATGATGGAAGATGGAGAATAATGGTACAAGTCACTTCTACTTTTGCCCTCTTTTCTGTCTCTGCTGCACAAAAAAATATTCCATCACCTCACTAACCATATTTTTGGTTTGTTGAATATCAAGAAAGCTAATAATGTTGTGTATAATGAGCATTTGGTTCATCATTCTGAGACAAACTCCCATTGTGACAACCGAAATTGATGTTCTGTTAATTTCTACAGCCTTTATAGTCAGCCATTTTATGATTATGGCTGGAAATACTGTACTGGTGTTTACCACTGTCTCACCTTTCATTGCTTTGTTGTAGCTGAGCAGCAACATCCAGAGGAGATGGACCAACTCTTCCCATCTCAGCCATCTTTCAGTACCATCCTGGAGAAAAAAAGTCATGGATTAGTCGCATTGAACTGTTGCTTGTTGTGGCTAACTTTGATGTGTTAGATTCCCAAAAAGAAATCAATCCTGTCAAGTCAAGGCAATTTTACTCATATAGCCAACATCACAAATCACAATTTGGTGTACCTTAAATGATTAAAAAAATAAATATATAAAAAATGAGGTAGTCACTGTCTGTACACTTTAATTCCACACTCTTTTTCTGAAAAATCTATCAACACAAATATGTCATACACTGATTAGCCATAACATTTTCACCACTGACAGGTGAAATGAACACTGATTATGTCTTTACCATGGCACCAGTCAGTGGTTGAGATATATTAGGCAGCAAGTGAACATTTTGTTTGCATAGTTGATGTGCTAGAAGCAGGAAAAATGGGCAAGTGTAAGGATTTGAGTGACTCTGACAAGGGCCAAATCGTGATGGCTACATTACTGGGTCAGAGCATCTCCTAATCTGCAGCTCTTAGTAGTTAAAGGAAGGTGTGGTGAACAGGCGACAGGGTCACGGGTAGCAAAGGCTCCTTGATGCACATGATGTACAAAGGCTGGTCCATGTGGTCCAATCCATTGCTGAAAAAGTTTATGCTGGTTCTGATAGAAAGGTGTCAGGAACCACTGTGCATAACAGTTTACTGCATATGGGGCTGCGCTGCCATACACAAGTCAGGGTGCCCATGCTGACCCCTGTCCACTGCCAAAAGATGATGCGCCCTGCCACAAAGCAAAATGGTTCTGGAATAGTTTGAGGAACACAACGAGTTCAAGGTGTTGACTTGGCCTCCAAAGTCCTCAGATCTCAATCCAAGCGAGCATCTGTGGGATGTGCTAGACAGCACACCTTCAGAGGTCTAGCGGTGTCCATGCCTCGACGGGTCAGGGCTCTTTTGGAGGCAAAAGGGGGAACTACACAATGCTAGGCAGGTGGTCATAATGTTATGGCTGATCGGTGTACATGCCATTACAGATTTGTCAGTACCACTACATCTGTAAAGAGGAAAGGTTGGCCGATAAGGAAAACAAGATACAAGAGTGATATTCACCGTAGGGTCTAGTGCCAGAGTGCAGTTCTTCAGAAAGTGAAGCAGAAGACGGAGCGACATGGGCAGAGAGATTTTCAGTGGGCATGCGTAGTCTAACAGATGTTCTAACAGCTTACATCTCAGCAGCTTGCTCTGTAGGCTCTCCAGCAACAACATCCTGGTTTTCAGAGACAGATTAGTCAACAATAGCTTGAAAAACTGAGTGATGCATTTGAAAACTATAAAATAAAGAAATACTTTTACATATAAACAGTGCAAATTAAAAATCCATTTCAAAAATCCTCTGTTTAAGAAATTAATACAACTCTAAAATTTTAAATAACTTAAATAACTAAAATTCATTTGTCTGCCTGATTTAATGTGTTCAATTTCTGTTTCTTCCACATTTTAATTTTAAGACACTTGGACATTTACATTTAGTCACTCGGCAAATGCTTTTATCCAAAGCGTCTTCCATATGATTTAAAGATAAAATTTCAAGAGGTTCACATAAAAACAGGAGAAACTAATTTCTCATTAGTGAATGCAATTTAAAAAAGTGTATTAAAGAGGTCATATTATGCTTTTTGGCTTTTTCCCCTCTATTTATATATCTTTCTTGTGCATGAAATAGGTTGCAAAGTGAAAAAGTCCTCCCCAAAGGAAGTTCCCATCTCCCACAGAAAGCTCTGCTCTGACCTGCCCGAAAACAGCTCGTTTGTAGTCCAGTCTTTTCCCTTTGATCCCTGTGACGACACAGCAAAATGCATGTCATAACGTTCGCCAAGCGGCTAGGTCCAACACGTCCAAAAACACGGGTGGAAAAACACACTGAGCTGCAGCACACAGTGACAAGACGTCCACCTGCTGCCTCTCCTCTCCTGGAGAACTATCTTACTTATGTTTGCTGTCTCACAGAGCTATGGCTAAGTTGGTTTTTAAATGTCCACCCTGATAGGGTGGAACATAACAGGGTGGGCATTTTAAAAATCTATTACAAAATGTCAGGAAATGCATATAAATGCTGATTAAATTGTCATTTAAACTGTTTATGTAATTTACCAATATATATAAAAGGTAACACTTTTAATATATATATTTCTCTCTCTCTCTCTCTATATCTCATGTATATATCTATAACGTTGTTCTTCCATTCCATATTTATTATATTTCTACATTTATTTATGTTGACTGTATGATTGTCTACGTGTAGCACCTTATCACCACAGCAAAGTCCTCGTATGTGTAAAACACTTGGCAATAAAGCTCATTCTGATTCTGATAATCTGTTCTTTAACAGATTTGACTCAATGGCTCCAGCCCATCCCCCCACTAACTCAGCTGCTGTCTGCCCTCTAACTCCAAACCCACTACTCCCACCTCCTGCTCACTGTCCCCCACCCTCCTGTGAAAAGCCTACTTCTCCCTCCTCTGGCCCCGACTGGCAGTTGAGGACACCATCATCTTCCTGCTCAACTGCATCTATGTCCAACTGGACAAGCCGGGTCATGTTTTTTGACTTCTCCAGTGCTTTCGACACCATCCGGTCGGCCCTGCTGGGAGAGTAGCTGACAGCGATGCAGGTGGATGCCCCTCTTGTGTCCTGGATTGTTGACTACCTGACTGGCAGACCACAGTATGTTCGCCTACAACTGTGTGTCAGACAGCATGGTCAGTAACACTGGGGCCCCGCAAGGGAAGGTTCTCTCTCCCTTTCTCTTTACCATCTTCACCACAGACTTCAACTACCAAACAGAGTCCTGCCATCTTCAGAAGTTTTCTCTGCTGTGGTTGGATGTATCAGCAAGGGTGACAAGGCTGAGTCCAGGACTGTGGTGGGGGACTTTGTCACATGGTGGGAGCAGAACCACCTACAGCTCAACATGAAAAAGACTAAGAAGCTGGTTGTGGATCTAAGGAGAGCAAAGGCACCAGTGACCCCTGTTTCCATCCAATGTGGACATTGTGGAGGATTACAAATACCTGGAGTGCACATTGACAATAAACTGGACTGGGCCAAGAACACTCAAGCCCTTTACAGGAAGGGCTAAAGCCGTCTCTATTTTCTGAGGAAGCTGAGGTCCTTCAACATTTGCAGGACGATGCTGAGGATGTTTTATGAGTCTGTGGTGCCCAGTGCTATCCTGTCTGCTGTTGCATGATGGGGCAGCAGGTTGAGGGTAATGGACGCTAACAGACTCAACAAACCGATACGCAAGGCCAGTAACGTTATGGGGGTGGAGCTGGACTCTGTCGGTGGTGTCAGAGAGGAGGATGCTGTCCAAACTACACGTCATCTTGGACAATGTCTCCCACCCAACTCCACGACGTGCTGCTCAAACACAGGAGCACTTTCAGTGCAAGACTTATGCGGCATTCAGACCAAACGTGAATTTAATCCACGCAACACTCTCCTCAAGGCGGTTTTATCGCTGGACAACTGCTGAGTGTTCACACACACACACACACACACACACACACACACACACGCGAATAAACCAGGAATACACACAACTCACCATTACTACAGCTGTATGAACCCAAAGTAAACAATTTGCTGTAAAATGGGTCAAACTGATGCTGAAATAACTACA